CATAGCTCGGCCTTCCTGATTGTTACACATGTCCATCCTACCAGGAAGCTGGAGCTGGCCACGTTACCATGGGCTGGAGCATCATATAATTGCATTTATATAACGGGATTTTAAACAATGGCTGTATCCAACTACTGCTCCCGAATTCCTGGAACTTCAGCCTTTGTGCCCACATTGGACAGAGCTCCAAGCTGCCAGCTCTGTCAGCTGCTCCCTCTGTAATTTACTGATAATCACTATTAAATAATCAAAATGTAATGTTTCATTTTGCATATTAAATCTAAAGAACTTAATGATTGATCACACAATTGCTCTTTCAGCCTCCAAATCTTCCCACCCTGCCTTCCTTCTCCCCCCGAGCGTCTGCTGGCATCCGTCTGTCTGGGTGCTTATTTCCGCCCTTCCCCAGGAGAACATGGCTCCCCGGGGCAGTGGTCCTTGTCTAGCACCGGGCACTTGCACCCCAGGCATGGAGTCGGATGCCACGGGAGACGCCCCAGGAACCTGGACTGAACTTGTAAGATGTCACCCCACCCCCACCCCCGGTCTTTTCTCTGAAGTTTAATTTGTCTCTTTTATTAATGCAACATTTTCACTTTAATATTGCTTTTATCGTGTGAACAGATTCAAACTTAATGCAATAGAACAAAATATTTGTCTCTATCAAGGCTTTTTATTTGCATGGGGCTTTTAATGTTTCAAAAACGTTTCCTTGTTTCTCATTTAATTATAGACACATTGACAATTAGATGAGAGAAATAAAATAAAAATCACCCTGGATCCCATCACCCATGCACCGTGACCGGACATGGCTCCTCCCAGGCTCTCCTGCGCTGTGTATCCACCTGAAGCATCACACGTCTCCACGGCCACAGAACCTTCAGGCCCTAGCAGCCAGTTTTCCCCTTGGTTTACTACGTGTGTCTTTCTGGGACACTAGTCCTAAGTAACAGGGTTCTGGCTTGTCACTTGGTAGCTGTGTTGTCCCACGTGGCTTGAACGTCCTATCTACCTGCCTGGCTCTCACTGGGCCTGAATGTCCTGTCTTTCCCCTTAGTGGGCCTCAATGCTCTGCCTCTCCCTTCACTGGGCCTGAATGCCCATCTCTCTCCTCATTGGGTCTGAATGCCCCGTCTCACCCTTGCTGGGCCTGTATGCCTGGTCTATGTAGACCAGTCATACTCAAGCAAGTCAAACTCATGGCCCGTGGGCCACATGCCTCGTTTATCTGGCCATGTGTTAGCATTTGACAAGCTTGATGTAGTCCATGGCTATTGTTGGTGTCCCAGTCCCTCCTGTGCCCCTCCTCCCCGCCCACATCGCCCTCACATGTCCTGGCGGTGACTGGGCTCACCGCGTCATCACTTACAGAAGGGGCTGGGCAGGGCAGCTCTAAGCGCCCTCTGCACACCTTACATGTGGGAGCTGCGGGCGTGCTCAGGAAGGTAGTGAAAAAGCCAGGAATGGAGGAGGGCAGGGACCCAGCGAGCCTGTCTCCTAATGGGAGGAGCTGGGAGCAGCACAGCTGGCCTCACTAGACCGCAGCCCCAGCTCTGGCCACTTACCCACACCTTCCAGCTGATGCTCAGAGGACCGGCCGGCCCTGCCCTGGCAGCGGACCAGGGAGAGAGGGCCAGGCAGGAGAGAGACTCAGCACACGGCGGTAGTGAAACGCTTGGTTTTATTGAGGATGTTGCAAATCCTTTGTCTACGTGACAGCGTCTCATGCTCGGTCCCACGGGTCTCCGTGCGCGAGGAGCGCATGCGGGTGTGACGTGTGGTCTATACATCAATATACATATGGGAACACCGGGGGGCGTCTCAGCGATGGTTTCTGGGCCGAATTACATTCACATAAAGTGTCCAAGTTCAGGAGTCAAGTTCAAAGCGCACAGCCTACAGTCTGAGAAGGCGAGGGCTTTCGGGCTCACCCCATCAACACTCCAGAGACCATGCCTTCCGCCGTTGGTGGGTACGTCCAAAGGATGCCCTCAGGCCTGGCGCACCATCAGCCACACCAGAGCCCGAACAGGTAGGTGTGCCTGGCACCCGGACAGGTATCTTGGGGGCTGGAGACTTATTCCTTCAAACAGCGTGCAGGGAAGTGCAGCCGCTGAGCCAGGATCAGGTCAGACCCTGTCCCCCACCCCCTCCCATTGTGTGGACACACTGTGTGCTGCGGGCAGGAGGTGGGCACAGGACACACGGGGGACAAGGACACACAGAACTGGACACACATGATCACGAGTACTCTGCCCTTCCCATGTGCACGGCCGGAAACCTTTTGAGGGATTTCCTAGGATGTAGAGATGGAAAAGCCAGCTAATTTTATTTCTCTTGCTGGATCAAACCTGTGGCTGGGGCAGACCTTACATTTTGGTGTAAATAGTTTGGGAATGGAGGGGCCCGTCTGTGTCGTGTCGTGTTCTGTGAGGAGGACATGCAGCCTCTGTCCCCTCTCAGGCCTGGGGAGGGACGGAGCCGCTTCCCAGCAGCCACGAGAAGTCACTGAACAGGAAGCGCTTCTTTACAAAGCGACCCTTACAGCGCGGAGACCGATGAAGTGGTTCGAATAAACATGGATTCCAGAGAAACCAATTCCTTCCGAGATGTTGGCTGGAGGGGACATTCAAAAATAACTGTTTTTGATGACAATGCAAATCTCCCAAACAGGAAGAAAGGTTCAATGAAGACCCGGGATCGGAATGGCGGTGCCCCTTTCCTGAGAAGGCGAGGCTGACCCTGAGCAGGTGATGGGGGCTGGGCCACGTGGCTAGGATGCCGGCCCCCGGCTGCAGCCCAGCCTGGAAGAGCCTGGCTCACGACACAAACGTCCTGCCACCCGAGACGTCCCTTCCACTCCCTTCCTGCCAGCGGCCTGGCCGCCAGGGCCTGGGCTGGGCGGTGACCGGTTCCTGTGGAACTGACTCAGGTTTAGCTGCCAGAGCAGAAACCCTCCCTACCCCACTGGTCAGAAGTCCTCAAAACTTAACGTTTTTCTCAAAAACAAACTAACAAACAAACAAACAAACAAAAACAAGTCCCTGGTTGTGTGAATTTTTCTGTGAAGTCTCAAAAGTCCAGACTGAGGACCCTGGATGCCAATCGACGCCCCGAGAAGCCAGCTGGGTGTCTAGAGTGCAGTGAGCGCAGAGGGGACAGTCTAAAGTGCTTTGTCTCTGCAGGAGTGACCCGACCTTCCCTCCTTCCTGCTCAGGGGAGAGCTTCCGGCTGCCTGTCCTAGGGGTTTCCCTGTCCCAGGAGCAGGGGCTGGGTGGGCCTCCTGCCTTCCTCCCTGGCAGCCACAGGCTAGGCCTGGGTGCTTCAGGCCCAACCCTGCATCGAGCCTGCCCTGCTGGTCACACAAGCCCGGCCCAGGATGGTGCCCAGCGCGGGTCCCACGGGGACGCACACAGTAAGGCGTCCGCTCACCTGGGCGAGAGGGACTCAGCCGACTTCTCTCAGCGTCTGACACGGGGACGGCAGGACACATGGGGCGGGACTCGTCTACGGAATGTATTTCCACTGGGCTTTGTCGTCAAAATCCACATCTTTTTTTAAAAACTAAGTCCATCTCCCATTTCCCCTTAGAAAAAATACCATTTGTAGAGAGAAGCATAAAAACACAGGGCCTTCCCGCTGTCTTCCGGGCGTGGGCGAGCCTGCGGGGAGGGCCGGCACCCCGAGGGCCCTTCCCTGCGATGTGGAAAGTGCCAGCACATGGGAACCAGGCCTGAGCCCGCCCTCAGGGGGCTGGGGACGAGCAACACCCTCCAGAAGGGGAATGCTGGTGCCTGAATCTGGGAGTCCCGGCATGTGGGCCCCCCAGGACGTGATCAGCAGGGCTCCACGCGCTGCACTTTCTGAGCCTGAGGACATGGGACACTGGGTGCACAGCCCGATGCCACCGGTGTCGCCACTGGGACTTCGCTGTGGGGAGGGGTGTCCCCTATCTCTCCCCACAGCACCCATGGGCCCCTCCACAACCAAGAGTCAGCCAAGGGCTCGAAGCACTTCCTCCACCCACTCAGCGCTGACCCCGAGTGGAAGCAACAGGCCACTGGTATGGGTCTCTGAGCACAGTTTGGGGGGCAGCTGGCCTTGACCAGCCCTGACCCCCTGGCTTGCCTGCCCTGGGCCATCCAGTGTGCTGTAGGGTGTTAAACAGAACCCATGGGTCCTCACATGCCAGCAGCACCCTTCCCTGCCGTGACTCTGCTCCGCCCACTGTGCTGCCGCCTTCGGCCTGCATGCTTTCTTCTCAAACGTGCCTTTGATAAAGCTGGAAGGAATAACTTAAAAAGATGCCTTAAGTGGTATTTTTCAAAATGAGTGTTCGCTCATGGCGTCGGGTTCAGAGGGAGGAGTGGGGTCAGGCTGGTTATTGTGCAGTAGCCCGGGTGTGCTCCCACTGGTCCCAAAACGTTAACTACTGCTTCAAAACCCAAATGAATGGCCCCATTCACCCCTGACTATATAGAAGTGAACCAAGGGAGGTTTCCTGTGATATGATCCTACGAGGAGCACAGAAGCTTCCGGAGCGGCTGGGCCCCGTCAGGGATGTGGGGCGTGGACTCGTACTTCCCTAGGTTACTACTTCCTACCTCTACTTACTCTTCCTCCATAGAGAATGCTTTTATTTTTTATTTTTTTGCGATTAAAATAATGTGGCATATGAGTGACCTGGCATAAGTACTTATTTTTATATAAATCATGTTCCTAGCTCTGAATAAATTATTTATTCAAGAATTTCACACCAAGTAATTGCTATTTCTAAGCTTAAGGAAGCCCTACTCAGTAGAACTCAATTTCTATCGTAAACGGAGATTGAAAGCAGTCACTGGGCCCTGGAGGGGGAGATGGTGCCGCAGAGGGGCCCAGGGCGGCACCGGACCCCCCTTCTCCGCCCCCCCCCCCCCAGCTGCGTGCCCGTCCCAGTTCGGATGGAAGTTCCAGAAGGTGCTGGATGCTGGGCGCTCCACCCCCGCCGCCGCCGCCGGTCAGGGCGTGAGCGAGAACTGGTCCTGCTCGGTGGGCTTCTCCACCCAGGCCCCCAGCCCCGCCTTGATGAACGCCCGGAACATGCAGGCCTTGGCCGCCTGGTACTCCCTCGCCACCAGCTTGGACTCATGGTACAGGTTGGGCTTGAGGATCTTGGAGCGCTGTAGGCTGGTGGGAACCTGAGTGAAGACGAGAAGACAAGCGCAACCATTTAAAAAGCCACAGGAGCTAAAACGGAAGATGTTCAGACAATGGTGTGTGGTGCTGTGCTGGCTCCTGGGGCAGGGCCGCCAGGTGACGGTGCCTGCCACAGAGGGGCCGCCCTCGCGCGGGACAGAGCCAGGGTCCTCCGAGGGTCGTGCTCCCTCCCCAAAGGAGCAGCCTTGCAAACGGGCGGTGCTCTGCCACCCACAGACCGTGGGTCCCAATGCCCATTTCAATACGGTGGCTCTTTAAAACCACAGGGTTGGTCACTGGAACTCTACGCCGGCCACTCACAGCTGAGTTCCTGCGACTCGTCTATTCCTCCAAAGCCAGCTTCCTAACCAACTAACACTAGAGGCCTGACTCACAAGTCAGTGAAAGCTAGCTAGTGTATAGATTTGCTAAGTTGGGGCTTATTTGGGAGAAAGGGTCCCGCTGCTGCTGGTTTTCACTGCAGGGAAAACCAGCAGCAGGTCTTCCTGCGGGTCTGACGGCGCCAGCAGTGCCCATCCTGTGGGCCCCCAGCTCCTCGTCTGAGGTGCCAGGAGGTGCCAGCAGGAGGGCAAGAAGGGACGCTGCCTCTGAGCGGAGCTGCGTTAGGGTGACGAGCCAGGGCCCGACCTCAGGCTGGACCCCACCAGAGGGAACAGGCTCGGGAGGGTCGTGTGGACGGGGCGGGGCTGTGACCGGACGGACAAGCGATGGGGAGTGGGACGGCCGTCGCCGCGGGCGCCTCAGTACCTTGCCGTGCACACGCATCCAGCGACAGTACAACGCGTGCTTACACAGGCGAGACGCTCGGCCCAGCTCGTCCTTGCCCGTCGTGGAGTTGATGACCTCGATGGCCGAGTCGCCCACCGTCCAGTTGACGCTGAAGTTGGGTGCCTTTCCCGGCTGCCGCGCTTCTGCATTGCTGATGCCTGGCAGGGAGAGACAGGCAAGGTGACACAGAGCCCCACCTGGCAGGTGAGTGGGACCAGGGGGGGCTCCCACAACTCCCACTGCCCAGGGATCACTGTCCGCTGGGAGGCGGGCTGGAGGTCCACAGAGCCTGGAACCTCAGCTTCACACCACTTCTGACTCCCTGGGGCACGGAGCCGGGCAGCCGGGCAGCCTGTACGCGGATGGCAAGCGGCTTTGTAGCTCCGGGTCCCGCCAAGTCATGCTGGGTGCTCCTCGGGGGATGACACCAGCCCTGGAGCTCAGGCCCTGAAGCTGGCCCACCCTGCCTCGCACATCCTATACCCCATGTGAGAACCAACTTCTTTACATGTCTCCCTACCACATCTTATCCATTTCTAGGACCAATGCTTCACTCACTTATTTTCACTCATCCACTCAAGGACACCATTCTGCAAAGTGTCTCTGTGGCTCCACTTGTTATCTCTGAGTTACTGATGAGTCCCACTTCCTCGTGGCCAGGCCCTTGGCCTTTCATACTCCCTCTCTATAGCCAATGTGTAGTTTCAGTGCAGGGCAGTCAAAGTAATTTGATTCAATTACTCAGAATAGTGACCACGAGATGCACTGCGGAGCTGAGCAGCATGACGGACTGGAGAGAAAACTGTTCATTCGTTATCAAGTCTGTTACCTTTCAAGGAGACCAACTTCAAATGGAGCCTCTGTCCTCACTTCCAGCAATTGCTCCACATCACACCGTGAGAGACAGACAGTAGGGTACGTGGAGAGTTATGACGAGGGCTTGGCTCCCCAGGTTGCGGAGGGTTAGGGTTAGAGAAGTCCCATGAGCTGGAGACCCAGGATGGCTGGTGGTGTAACTATGTCTGAGTCCAAAGGCAGAGAACCAGGGGGCCGGTGGTGTGAGTCCCGGCCAACAGGAGAAGGTGAGAAGAGTCATCCCATTTCAGCCAGCCAGGCAGGGAAAAGGGATGAACTCCTTAACACGGGCCTCACTGGATTCAATGTGGGTGGACCCACACTGGGGAAGCAGTCTGATTTACTGAATCCACCTATCAAATGCTGACCTCACCCGCAAACACCCCCCTGACACCCCCAGAAAGAACAAGTCCTCTGGGTGCCTGTGGCCAGTCAGGATGATGCAGAAACTAATCATCACAGACCTCCGTCTACTGTGGTGTACACTGAACCGCTTCTTTCCTGAACAGCTGTTTGGCTTTCCTGGAGTTCCCGTCGCCTTTGTGTTTTGTTGTTCATGAAAGAGGCATGTCCCTTCACCTTTGAAAGGCCATTCAGTTTCTCAGTTTATTTGTGAAAATATATTCACTTTATTCTGAAAGACATCCTTTTTTTTTGAGTTCTGTCGTGGTTCTCTGATTGAAATAGGCTTGCTGCTGAGTTATCCTGTCATCATATTGCTGACTTATAAGATAATTGGACCCTACTATTTTCTTTCTTGGCGGTATGTCTGCTTCATTTTGCTAGAATATCCTTACATTTTCCTCCAAAAATATACAACGGAGACAGATCTTGTTTATCCTTGAAGATCTAAACATTATCACTTTATCAGAATGCCCTACACCAGAATGCTGCTGTCACTGGCTCCGCATTCGAGATCACTCTGCTGCCGATACCTGAGTGTTGTCTCTGCTCTTCACAGAACTCTAACACTCGCTCATGGAGGCCCCTGGTCTGTCCCCATCACTAGGCAGAGGGAGAAACTGAGGCACAAACCTGCCAACAGGGTGGAGCTACAGCAGCCAGCTTCGGCTGTGCCTCAGGCTCTGGCTGCCAGGGCCCTAACCCCATGGCTGGGGGCCCCTGGCTTTGGGGTTGGAGATGATACTAGGGACAGGAGAATGAAGAGCGGTTCTTCTATTTTGTCATCTATTTCATATTTTTTCAAACATGTAGAATGCACCAATGGGTTTAAGGCCTCTGCCTTGCAAAGGCTATGCTTCAATATCTTTTTATAGCCATTCATGCACTTCATGTACATCTGATCTGATAAAAATAACCCGACTTTTAAAAATGAGCTCTCATTTCAGTATCTGAGAATATTCCTTTAGAAAATGATCCTGTCCTCTGAGACTCTGCTATGGACTTGATGTTGCTTAGACTCATCAAGACACCGACAAGCAGCTGCTCTGAGCAGCGCCTGTGGGCCACGTGCTCCACACGGTGTTCTCCGTGTCTCTGAGTCCAGGAGATGAGTGGCAGCCGAAATGAAGCCCAGTTCTCAAACGCAGAACAGGGAGTAAACAGGGAGAACTTATCCTCTGATGCACGAGACAGCCGGACGCCAACACAACGAACGACACTTCACAACTTCCAGGAAGCTCCATGGGTGTGGATGCTACCGTTTCAACTTCTCCACAATTGTTTTATCAGACTCTACCTTTCCTTAAAAAATAATGGCTAAGGTTAGGGAGCTGCAACATTTTATCTGAGACAACCTGTGTGCCCCCTCGTGCTTTCAGTCCCACACGGCTTCAGTCTGTTACCGCACGCTGCGGCCAGCACACACACACACCAGGAGACTCAGGGGGTTCAGGCGATGGTTTTAGTTCTGAGCTTAAAAGGTAAGTAAAATGATATTTTCAGCAGGATAAAAAACACCTGTGTCTTTTAAAATAGGGGTGAACTGAGAAGTTTGGACCCTTGAATTCAAAAGCTCTTGTTCACTTTGCTGATAGCCACTGAAATTCTAAGAGAGAACCATCAAACGAGTAACAGTGAGCGTACAGGACAAGCTCCAGATTCACTGACACGTCGGCTTGCACTGATCCATACAATCACATCCCTGACGCACCCATGTGTCAAGGGCACACATTTCAATGACATGACCAACCTCCTAAGAGCAAGCTGGGTGCGAGGAGCCAGTCAGGCTGCCTCCTGCACGGGGCTGGCTCTGCGGGGGCAGCTCGTCAGCGTGACCACATATGCTGGTGGCCAGCCCAGCTGGGTCTCAGACAGCGATGGGTGTAATTTCCACAGCATCTTAGTCTCTCCGTGGAGACAGGGCCTCAATGCATATGCATGAAAGACAGACGCAGAGGTGCCACATCTGGGCTGTCGATCCTTCACAAAGGGTGAGGTTTTCATCGGTAAGAGATAACCTGGCCCCAGGACTCACGAAACAGCCCCCTCCCCCCCTTCAGTGGCCAGACTGTCCCCCGAGGAAAAGCTACCCGACAAGCAGCTTCCCCGTGGTGCTTTTATCTACACGACGTGGCCACTGCACACGCATTCGTGGGGAAGAGGTGAGGTCACGATGGGATACTTGCCACTGAGCAGAGGCTTGTTGAGGGTGTAGAGAGGGGGCAGGTCTTCGATGTTGGAGATCCGCTGGTACATGGCTCTGGAGAGGTGGTCCCCGTGGTACAGGCTGCCCAAGATGATGCTCGAGAGGTAAATGGGCTCCACGAAGATGCTGAGCAGGGAGCCCTGGATGCCCACCACGTTCCACCTGCGGGCAGAGGGAGCGGGCCTCAGCGGGCGCAGCGTCTGCGCAGACCTGACGCCCTCCTGCCAGGTGCACAGATGTCGTTAATGCTGCACCACGTCGGCCAATTAAAAAGGGAGCAGCTAGAAGTAACCAACTTAGCAGCTTAAAGTGTTAAAGAGAAAAAGCTTCTTAAAAATCATGTTAGCTGTAAAATGGCATTTTGCCACAATGACACGCTGACTGAAGGTTAGTTCTAGCAAGGTATCCACGAGACATGTGAGAAAAATCAAAAGGGAGAGTAAATATTTTATCACTTCCAATAGAAATGATCTCTCTGGAGTCCTTAAAACCATTCAACGGTCATTGTCCTGGTCCTTAGCGACACCTCTGACGCAGGTTCCTTTTCACACTCGGAGGGGAGAACCTCGGGAGGAGGTGTGCGCTCCCCATTGCTCACTGGTCGCTGAGCCTGCCCTGCCAGTCACAGCAGCGGCGACACTGGAACCGCACTGGGACTGACTGCAGGACCCTCACCGAACCAGTCATTCACATCGCTGACATCCAGGAGTTTGTTTGAGCTCCAACTGAGCCACCATCCCTCAAACACGCCGCTGCTCTCTCTCTGAGCCCCAAGGGGAGAAACACTCCCAGCCCGGGGAGTCCGCACCCTCAGTGCTGGCCTCGTCCATGGGCTGACGTCACAGCCCACATGGTCCTAGAGCCCAGGGACAAGCAGTCAAAAGGAAAACACGTGAATCAAGAATTAAAAGTTGAGCTGAAATGCATTTGAGGAAGAGCAGGGTTCCATGACAGAGCAGAAGAGGGGTGCTGGCTTCAGGGAAGGCTCAGAGGAGGTGACCCTGAACTTGGCTCCAGAGGGGAGTGAGGCAGAGGGAATGAGCCACCACCCAGACCCAGTGGGGGACAGGCCCAGGCCAGGGTGGAGCCAGGGCAGGGACAGGCCTGAGCAGCCTCCGCAGGCCCTGGCTGTCCTCAGGGAGGGGAGCTCCTGAGGCCTTTCGGGGAGAGTGGGGCCACCAGATTCAATGGAAGTGCTTTCCTGAGAGGGTCCTTTGCGGAGGTGAGCTGCCAGCACTGTGGGGAAGGTCTGGTGGGATGGCAGTCAGGTGGTGGCCGTAAGACAGCCTCCTCTGTAGCGCAGGTCAGAGGTGAGTGGGGGCAGCAAATGTAGAAACATGAGCGCTCCCCTGTCCTCTTCCCCTGTATCCACTCTCTCCACTGGCCATCAGCTCTGCCATATCTCCGGCCTTCCAGCATGGTCAGAGCTGGGAACCTCTCCCTAAATCCTGGCCCACCCGGCTCCATGTCCCACACTCAGGCCAAACTCGCTCCTTCATCCCTGTCACTGAAGAGACCTCCTTTCTCACAGGTCCAGATGCCACCTCTGCTGGGTCACAGCCCCGCCTCCACCAATTCATCCTTTCCTACGTCCCCCAAGGCCCCACCCTAGCGCCCATCCCCAACAGCAGCTGCCTGACTTGTGAAAATGCAGGTCGGACAAGGTCACTCCTGTGCACAAAATCCGCCAACACTCCCATCTTCTCCGAGAAAAGGCCATCATTCCCACAGCTGCCAGGCCGTCCGACCCAGCTCCTCCTCCCTGACCCTCCAGCCTCGGTGCCTCCCATGCTCATCTCGGGCCACCAGGGTCCTGCTGCCCCCTCCAGAGCCCTTCCTCCGGGTCCTCCATCCCGGAACATGGCCCATGGCGCTTAAACAGCCCCCTGACCACGGTCCCCATCAATGTCTCTGTGGAAAGTCCCGCTTGGTGCCCTGTACCAGCCCTTCCTGTGTTACTTGAGGGAATATTTTTTGTCTCCCCCCATCCCTACCAGTATGTAAGCTCCTGGGGGAAGGACTCTGTGTAACTCCCTGATCTGTTCCAGCTTAAACTCTGCACCAGGTACATGCAGGTCAACAATCAGGTGCCGAGCAGGGGACAAATCCTCCAATTCCTACCTCTCCCACCTTCTGAAACACAATTAAAACACAGGTCTCCTATCTTACAAGGAAAAGCAGGACATGACTGGATGCTTACCGAAGCCACAGGCACCCTTCTGTGGAAATTCAGGCCATCCTTAGGCAGAATGCCACCTCCTGGGCCCACTTTAAAACACTGACGCTGCAGAAAGCTCGGTTTGCTATGAGTCATTAATTCGGGCAAATGTTCCACAAGAGTTCCAGGAGCTCCGGACGGCTCTGTGGAGGCCCTGGTGGAAGTGGGGTGCACACTGCCACTCTGCTGACAGGCTCCACCCCTGAGCATCACAAAGGACAGCCAGGACCGAACTTCACCAGGAGGAAAAATGCCCAGTGATGGCAAGGGGCCCAGTGATTTTTGCTTTTCCCTGGGAAGGGTGCAGGTTCATAGCAGTTTACTGGTGACACTTGCTTGGGTGACACTGGAAGGACCACCAGGTGCTGAGTGCTCACTCGGCCTCTGTGCTCGCTGTCCAGGCTGCTTTCTCTCTCACCTTCCTCACGTCATTTCTCAGAGGACAGGGTTCAGGGCACTGCCGTTCCCGCGAGTCCCTGGATCCGTAAAGTGCCTGGCCCAGTCCTGAGAGGCTGAGTGGGCAAGCAGCCCGTGGCCAGGCCAGTTGTCACAGGAGAGCTCTGACCCAACCACAGCCTCCTCAGCACCTGGCCCAGACAGTCAGGACTTGGTCAGCTGCCCTAACTATTGTCCCTGCTTCCCAACTTCGGGTCCTCAGAGAAAGCCCAGTCTGCGCCCCACCAGAGGCAGCCCCACTTCTGGAGAGTGAGCCCCAACCTCCACGGGACACACCTGAGCCTCCCTGGTCCCATGGAGCTGTCCCGCCCGGCCTGCCCACACAATGAGGGCGCCTCCCCCTCACCCCCCTCAACCACAGCAGCTCTGACTAACCAAACTGTCTGCCCTCAGGGGTGGTCTCTGCTTCCTCCCACAGCTCCGTGCAGTCCAGAGCACAGAGGCCAGGGTCATCAGACTGGAGACCCTGGCGCCTTCTCACAGCCCATCTGACGCAACTCGCCATGAGATGGTTAACCCCACTCTTGTCACTGTGACCCATGCAACCTTGAGGGGGGCCGTGGCTGCCTCCAGCCAAACTGCCCACCGACCCACCAGACAGCGCCTGGTGACCCCAGCGGTAGCTCTGCACCTCCCTCCCCACCGACAGCCCACTGCAGCCTAACTCCTACGCCTGCCCTTTGCCCCTGGCCCAGGTCCTGCCCCGCAGGTTGGGACCTACGGGACACTGCTCTGTCCCCTGTGAGGGACACAGGACATCTCGCCAGCACCTGCCCACTGCCTCCCATCCGTGACGGCCTCTCGGGGGGCTGTTCATTTCATTCCCTCAGGACAGGACAGGAGGACTGCAGCCAGCGGGCAGCGTTCCGGCTGTCACGCTGTTTCTGGGCCACGGCTGCTCTGGTTGGAAGCATGACCATCTGTCAGTGTGACACTGAATGTTAAGCCCTTTTCAACCACTTCCGAGTTTACAAAAATGAGGTGACTAGGAGGATGGGGGCCAGTGCCAGGGGAACTGACTACATAATTAGAGGGGGTGGGAGAGAAACTGGGGGTCAAACAGATCACCAATAATCAATGATATAATCAATCCTGGCTATGTGACAGAGATTTGCATAAAACCCAACAGGCTGGTGAACCCATCAGGTGGGAAAGGAGGGAGGAGGGGGTCACTGCTCACAGGGCACCTTTGTTTCTTCCTTCTCCTTGGCTGGGTTTGTTCTGTTGTTTTCTTTCCAGCCGACCGCTGTGGTGCTTTTGACATTTACCTATAATAATTTTCTAGTTCCCACCGCGATTTCTCCTGTGAGCCCTGAGGTATAACTGGCATGCGCTATATGGCATTGTATATGTTGAAGCGTATGATTCAGTAAGTTGACATGTGTTTCTACCCGGATACCATCACTCCCTGATCCTTGCTCATACCTTATTCACCTTGTTCCATTCCTTCCTCACTGTCCCTCTTACTCTGATCCCTGTCCCCCTCTTCCCTATGCCCCAGGCAACCAGTGATCTGCTTCTGTCACTGTAGACCAGTTTGCATGTTCTAGAAATGTACATACTTTTGGGGATCTGGTTTCCTTAACTCTGAATAATTACTTTTAGATTTGCCCAGGCTGCATGTGCATCATTGTTTATTATTATTTGCCTGAGTGGTGCCCCACTGCATGGAGAAGCATCGTTTGTCCACCCTTGTACTACTGCTGCCACTTGCATTGCTCCTAGTTTTTGACATTACAAAGAAAGTTGGACACATGTCATTATACATTTGTCCAAATCCACAGAATGTGCACCACCAAGAACGACCCTAACACAATGTGTCAGTGTAGGTTCATCCATTGTAACCATGTGCCTGGTGGGGGATGGATAATTGGGGGAGGTGGTGCAGGGCAGAGGGGGTAGACGGCATATGTGAATCCCTGTACCTTTGTCTTAATTTTGTTATGAATCTAAAGAAATGTGTAGGATGGTAGTTTCCCATTGTGTGTTTTATCACAATTATAATAGGTCAGTGATGCCACCAATAATTACACAGAATATATAGCAGATAACAAGATAATCATCCCACTAACACAGAAAGTATAAAGTTCTAGAAATCTGTTAAAAACTGCCTGACATTTTTGTGAAAAACTTTAAATGCTGTAAAAGAAATGTTTTAAATATGGAAAGAGATATAAAATATTCATGGGTAGACTGATTTAACTTCATATCAATTCCTTTCAACTCAGTCCATACGTTCAATGCAGTTTCATATGTTATCTTAGCAAGACTTTGGGAGACACTAGACAAGATGACTCTAAAATACGTACAGAAGAACAGAGGATCATAAAAGGCTATCGAAAGTTTGAAAAAAAAATGACTAAAGAACGGCAGTTTTATCCCACCAGATCTTTAAACTATTAAAATGTCAGAATAGTCTCTATATATATAAAAGCCTAAGTGACTGTTAGGACTGGTGGACCAAATGACTGGTAGACTGGTCCCTATGATGTGCACTGACCACCAGGAGGCAGACACTCAATACAGGAGCTGCCCCCTGGTGGTCAGTGCACTCCCACAGCCAACCTCCTGCGGTTCCCTCCATCCTGGCCCGATCGGGACTGTGCAAGATGACCCAAATCAGCCCCATTGTCAGCCGGGCCAAGGAACCCCACCCATGCATGAATTAGGCCTCTGGTAGACTAATAAAGAATCTAGAATCTAGAAATAGACCCATCCTTGTGGAGCTCAGGATATAACAGGTGCCTTCACAAATCAGGGAGAAAATATAGGTTATTCAACAGAAAACTGACTTTCTGTATTAAAATAAAGCTAAATTACAATACAAAAGTGTTAAAGGCCTAAATGTGAAAGTGAAATGCTAAAGGTCTTAGAAAGGACAGCAGAATGTGTTTATGCCCTTAATTTGAGGAGGAATTTCTTAAATAAGATCCTAAAAGTACAGATCACAGGGTGACAGATCGATGGATAAGATTACATCAAAATTAGGGGATCCTATTCCAGAAAGGACGGCACAAAATTAAGAGGGACTTGGACTTGAGGAGGCACTGCCTCGTCTCACACTGTTAAGGATTACAAACTACAAAAGGAACTTTTGCGAATCAAGATGAAAAGGGCATGAGGTCCAAGAGACAATGGCCAGGATATACACAGGGGATTCACAGGAGCAAGATGGGGGCTTGAGGAGATGCTCAACATGCCTAGTGAGAGGAGAAATGAACAGAAACCCTGAGACAGCATTGGGAGTGAGGGGAGCTAACCTCGGCACACTGGACTGCGTGCAGCTAGAGGGCCGTTAGGTACGCCGGTAGTGCTGTATGAGGAACCTCTGGATACCACGGCCTATATCGAGCTGCTTACGGGGTCTTGAGGCGCTCGCGGAAATCCACGTGTCCATCACAAGGGGAAGGACATACCGTGGCCACGACTATGATGCAGGGGTCAATGGGCTGGACATCATGGCATCAGGGAGAGTCCCCCAAACACGGGGTGAATGAAAATACGGGGAACAGAATGGGATTTGAAACACAATGCCAAATCTGTAAACGAACAACATACACCTATTTTTCAAAGACACGGACACACACTCACACTCAGAAGCGGGATGGACAGCGAATACAAAGGGCATGTAATTAGTAAGCACATCATGTGGGCACCTTGCTGGGTGGGAATGGGCCATGGTGTCTGATTCATTTAGCTCCGTGCCCCCTAGGTTCCCTGACATGACCATTAGAGAACGTCAAGGCCAAGGCCAAGCTTACAAACAACAGACAAAATGTACACACACACGCGTCGGCTCTGACAGCTCTCGGGAGGGCATTTAGGACCCAATGGAGCGTTCTGGGGGGAGGAGATTTTATTTTACATGCTTTTCTACCATTGAACTTTGTGCCCTCTGCCCATGTGATTTTTTTCAAATAGACATTTGTTAAAAGATACAGGACTACGGGAAATGAGAGCAGCATTTGAAGAAATGGGTTTTTTAAATCTGCCTGGGATGCAGGTTCTTGAAAGAATAACACTTCTCAGGGGAAGGCAAACTCAGGGTGTTTGCAGCACCCAGCCTCCCCTCTCCATGAGGGGGTGCTCTCGGTGCTCAGAGCACAATGCCTGTGAGGGGTGGGTATCACATTATTTTTAAAATGTAAATACCAATCACCCCAAATACTAACTGAATAGTCAATATGATCGTTAAAGTGCATCTATGATGAATGAGGAACCTCTTTGCTTTCTCCGGGAGCAAATTGTTTTACAATAGTAGAACACATCAGTTCACTCCAGAAGTCCACATCTATAATAATAAAACCATAATATGCTAATTGGACGGGGCAGCCAAATGTCCTTCCGGATAAAGCTGTTGCGGCTGCGGCTGTGAGGTCCGAGGGCAGGCAGCAGTGGTGGGGTAACAGGGACAGCGCCTTCCCTGATTGCCCAGTCGCCTCCCGCAGAGGGGAGCGGGCCTAAGCCGTCAGTAGGACTTCCCCTGAGGGCTCCCGGACTGTGAGAGGGGGCAGCCGGGCTGAGGGAGCCCCTCTTCCAGTGCACGAATTTTCATGCACCGGGCCTCTAGAATAACAATAATAATTAAGGGTGAGATGGTTGTTTTGATGAGTAGCAACCTGGAGCCTCCTGGGTAAAGGCCCACCTTCACCCCCGCGAAGGGTCCTGGAGCCCCTCGCCCCCTAGAGCCTTTATCCTTCAAAGAATGTTGGGAACATTAGAGTGGGGAGGGGGGCCAAAACCAAACCGTTTTGAAAGTGGGTAACTGGTGTAGGAGGAAGGTCAAGTGCCCACAAGGGCACAGTGGGGGATATCCAGGAACCAGTAGGGCTGAGTCTGGCACAATGGGGAGGGTCAGATGCCTGCAGGGGCACAGTGGGGGATACCCAGGAACCAGCAGGGGTGAGTCTGGTGCAGTGGGGAGAGTCAGGTGCCTGCAGGGGCACAGTGGGGGATACCCAGGAACCAGCAGGGGTGAGTCTGGTGCAGTGGGGAGAGTCAGGTGCCTGCAGGGGCACAGTGGGGGATACCCAGGAACCAGCAGGGGTGAGTCTGGTGCAGTGGGGAGAGTCAGGTGCCTGCAGGGGCACAGTGGGGGATACCCAGGAACCAGCAGGGGTGAGTCTGGTGCAGTGGGGAGAGTCAGGTGCCTGTAGGGGCACAGTGGGGGATACCCAGGAACCAGCAGGGGTGAGTCTGGTGCAGTGGGGAGAGTCAGGTGCCTGCAGGGGCACAGTGGGGGATACCCAGGAACCAGCAGGGGTGAGTCTGGCGCAGTGGGGAGAGTCAGGTGCCTGCAGGGGCACAGTACCCAGGAACCAGCAGGGTGAGTCTGGCACAGTGGGCGCTTCATGGTCTTACCGTGCCATCTTGTCGCTGCAGGACATGGTGAGCAGCCTCTCGCCCTGCAGCACCCCGTCCCACGTCTGGATGCTCGCGTTCGAGCGCACGGGGATCGTCCCCTCGCCAGATTCTATCTTCGTCCGCAGCTGTCCCCGGGCTTTGCGATTCGGGTGTCTGTCTGCCGGTTCTAAGAGAGAAGGGGAGAAGGAAGCCACTGGTGGGAAATCATCTGCTTCACTCACTGAGACGCACATCTAACTACCCCCCATCCATTTACCACACGTCCGCCTGTAGGTGCTTATGGTTGTTCTATATTTATAGGACATATGTGCAGTGTAAGTATATAAAGCTGGACAGGAAGGATATAATATGAACCAAATTCACAGAAGTGGCCTCCTCAGGGGTTGGGGAAAATGAGGGCTTCCATTTTAACCAAAGTGATTGATTTCTATTGTTAAAAAGGAACTGAAGCAAATAGGACAAAATGCTAACATTTGTTCATTCTAGATGTTGGATATTTGGGTATTTGTTATATTCCCCCCCACTTTTAAAAATTTCCTAAGGAAACCCATATGGATGCTAAATAAGCCCACAGGAAGCACGCACACACAGTGACTACCTCTGGGTCATATGAACACGGGCAATTTGGATTTTCTTTCTTATTTAAAAAATATTTAGTAATTTCCACAATTGATTTTTGTTGCTTTTATAATCAAGAAAAAACAATGCAATCAAGTGTTCTATTTGGAACAAACAAGCTTGCTGGGAGAGAGGTGGATACAAATCCGTGGAAAACAGAAATCTGGGGAAAACGTGCAGAGAAGGGCGGGGAAAGGTGATAGAAACAGGGTCTCCTTTTTCACTCGTCTAATCTGCTGTTGGGTTTCAGCCAAACAATCACACATTGACTAAGTCACAGTTCATCAGAAACAGCAAGAGGATGTGCATCTCTGATGTAGACACAGACAAGGTGTCCCAAAGATTGTGACAACCTGTATAGTATCCACATTTAAGTGCTGACATCCATTTTGACCTGGTGTCCTCATTCTATTCCAATCCCACAGTTTATTAGAGTCAACATTTTCATTCATTAAAATATTCTCATTAATTATCCATGGAGAAGTAAAACCTCCTGCTTTTATTTAGTCCCCAGATCCACGTTCAAGGCTGACACGGAAAGAAGAAGGGTATTGATGTAAAGTCTATTATTTTGTTATCACATGGCCACGCATTGAGAAACCACTGACTGTCCAGACGCCTGGCCGTACCTTCCAGGATTGGTTCGTGAGGTGAGAAGATCCTGGCGTCCCCGCAGGGCGAGGTGCTGATGTACAGGTGGAACTGGACGGTGTCCTTCAGCCGAAAGCCTCCCCGCTCGGACTTCTGGAAGATGGACTTCTTCTGATCCTCTTTGCTACTGAAAGGAAGCAAGTTGCAGAGTAAGCGCTCCAGCCACCTGCAGTCACAACTCGGTCTGTCCCAGCGCCCAGAGACTTTAAAGGCCTATGGTTTCAACAGGATAAAGACGAGCTGGGATTGGCACCTTCTTTCCCCATGTTTATGATCATTCACATGGTTCCTGTCACTCAACAATGGACAGGTCATCGAGATGCAAGCATTTCCCCTTTCCTTTTCATCTTTGATTCCAAACAGAATGTGTAGAGATGGTTTCACAGAGTGAAGCATTTTAGATACGTGATGGGCTGGTGTGAGGCACATTGAATGGGATAAAAACGACCGTGTCTACAAGCTGTGGAGTCTACTGATATCAGCCCACAGGAAACAAAAGCCCAGGGTCTGAGCACAGCCCTGAAATTGGCGATATTATCATGCATGTGTGCATATGTGTGTGCTCCTAGGTACATGTGTATATGCATGTGTGCTATAACTTAGCCAGCTCTACTTGTAGCTTGAACATCATGGGAAGATGGGATCCAACCTCACTGTTACTGACAAAGTTACTATTTTGAGAATTTTTGAGTGAAAGTTCTGCAGTGTTTTCTGACGGGGGGAGGGGAGAAGGCAATGCTTTTTAAAACAGCTTCCTTTATTTACTTACTTACTAGACTTACTTTAGGTACAGCTCAAGCTGTGTGTAAAGGAACCTGAGCAAGGACCGCCGAGATATGATCTCTGCGTGGCAGTCATTCAGAGCGAGGCCACGGTCACTCATGTACTCGCCGTTAATACACTTCGTTCCCGTGGAAACGCATATCACCTGGGCATCTTTAACATCGGTGCCTGGAAAACAAGAGAGACCGGTCCTCTAAGTCACAGTCACCTGCCCACCGCACCCCAGGGCCTGACACATGTCCGCAGAGACGGAACCTGGCAGAGACTCTGCGCACTCACTCTCCACGCCTACCCCAGCCAACTGCAGCCTCCAAGAGGGCCAGCTCTGTGACCCCCTGGGAGCCAGCCGCCCTGTCTTCCGTGTGAAGGTTCTGAGCCTGAGGAAGTGACTCTTCGGGAATGGAACAGTCTTTCTTGTCCCATGGGAGGAAGCACTATGTGAAGGCAGGTAAGTGGTCTGGTTATGAATCTTAAGATTAATATGAAAGCACTAAAGAGCAACGAGGGAGGGACAAGAAGGAAAACAAGGCGTTCACAGTGTGCTGGCCAGGAGTCTCTGTCACCCCCTCATGCTGGACGGAAGCCCGCAGCCCCGGGCACCTCCAGAGGAGCGGCCACTCTGCGGTAAATCTGTCACAGATGTGCTGCCAAGGCCTGAGCCACCAGGGACAAACTGCACCACCATCAGCTGCAGACGGTGCCACAGAAGTGTGTTAGTGTTACCGTGGGAGAGAGGAAGCCACACGGTGCTGGGTCCACCAGGGAAGATTTTCTCACTTCATCCCCACATCCTTAAGGTGCATGGCACCACTGCCTCTGTTTTACAGACCAGGAATCTGAGGCACAGAGGGGTTAATAACCTGCCCAAGGTCATTCAGCAAGTGCAGGCCATCGGAGGTCAGAGCCAGGTGCCCGCTGGCAGTCCTGCCTGCAGGTGCAAACTGTGGCTTTGAGCGGTGGAATTCACTGCAGGCGTCTGCCTCTCCTCAGGCAGTGAGCAGAGCTAGGTGACAACAGGCCACACACCACAGAGCCTGCTCAGGGAGTTGCTGCATCAGCAGCTGAGACTGCTCCTTTCAGTTCCGTAAATAGTACAAGCACAGAGAGAAGAGGAGAAAACTACAAACATCAGACAAAACCCGAAACCCACGTTCACGTTCAGAGTTCTTCCTCCGCCTCCAGACACATGCTCAGCTGTGCCAAAGCACACACGTGGCGGGAGGAGCTTGTGATTCGAGTCGTCACATTCTCCAGGGCGAGCGGGGATCAAGCCTAGGATTATAGAACCGGATCCTCTCCCCAGTGGGACAGAGAACTGCCTCGGGAGAGACCAGTACAGCCAGCCTCACAGAGAGCTGGGGTTCTCCTGGCTGGTGGAGACAGATGCGCCATCCCCAGCCCTCCTCCCTGGCCTCCAGCAGGGAGGGGTGGGGGAAAGGGAGCCTAACTCCAGCATAGGCCGTGGATGCTGCCAGCAGAGGGCGCTGCACGTCCCGCACGTCCTGCCCACCCAGGGCTGGACTGGACACTGGCCAGTGTGCTTCCTGCTCCTAGGAGTCACCACAGAGATGCAGCTTCTCCCGGTGTGGGGAGAAGACCTGGGGAAGGGTTCCGTCTAGACAAATTTAATAGGTTTCTTCCTGCCTTCCAAACTGTGCTTTTCCCCAGATTTTCAACTCTGCTGGACTTCCTCTCTCCCCCACAAGCCACACGGAAACCTACCTGGCAGCATGCACACTAACGGTCAGTCAGACAGGCCCTACTTTCCCATGAGCAGGGATTAATGTCTCCTGCAGTTTCCTGAGCGGACCAGACCACTCTCACACGATCATGGGAACCTAACCTTACAGAGGGGCTTCTCCACAGGAGAACAATTAGGTCGAAGAGATGAACATTTGGGAAAAATATGTAAGGACAGTTCCCACATTTGCAGATGACAGACATTCTGAAGAAGAAGGAAAACCCAATTTTCCTGACAGAGGTTTTTATAGCGCAAGATGTTTACCTGTTGTCATGACAATTCCAGCAAGAACCTTCCTGCGTGCGTGGGGGGAGGTGAAGTTTTCCGTCAGATCACCGAACTTATCCAGAACCAGGCGGGCCACGGCGTCGGCTAACACCTGGGGGTTAGGAGAGCAGGGGGTTAGGCACCTGCCCCTGCCCCCCGAAAGCCAGGGTGATGGCTCAGATGCCTTCTTTTCTGGAGAATCCCACACCAAGTCTGGCAAACAAGTGTGTGCGTGTGCACATGTGTGTGTGTGTTTCCTCCAAAACACACATCCGAGGAGCATGTGAGGCTATGGCTGGAATCTTTTGACAGGGCCTAGAAGGCAGGGTCAGCCCTGAGCTTGTGCATATGGGGCATACCCTGTTGCCTCTCTGGTCCTCATGGCACACCAACCCCACCCTCTGATGAGGACACCCAGGAGGAAGGGGCCTGAGTGCCTTCCTGGGGTCACCTGCCTCCTCCTCCGCTGCTCTGCTGCCCAGGCTCTTTCAGGGGAAAGAGGCAATTAAAAGTGATCAAATTAAAGAAGCGTGAGCTCTGCACAGCACGCCCTCTTTAAGGCCCCGGCCCATCAGGAATGTCTCCGTTATTCCAACACCTATCCCATCACCTGGCTCAGTCACTCCCTCCGAATCCAGCCCTGAGCAGAGCCTGTGGGCAGCTGTCACTGAGCTCAAATGACAGCGGAATGGACTCAGACCCGGCAGCACTGTCCTCCAGGGAGTGCTTCTTAGAAGCCAACACATTAGATTTGGGACATGTCTTATGACTCGAGTTATTGTAGACAGAGCGAACCTGGGAAATGGTGCTGTGTGTGTGTGTGTGTGTGTGTGTGTGTGTGTGTGTGAAGAGCCACACTTAATCTATATCGCCCTTATCTCACACTGGTCTTGACAATCAAATGGCCAAATCTAATGTCCCCTTAATAAAATAGAAAAGTCACTCATCCTAAATGATGGCTTATTTGGAAAAAGCATAGCTATCAGAAAGCTTTCCTCCCATCATTGCCAGAATCCAGCAAATTCTAGCGAGCCCCCGGGGATATGCTCAAGACCAGCTCTGTGGAGGGTGGGCAGGAGGTCCAGGCGGGGCCCTCGGGCCTTACCTGGCACCTCAGCAGAGGCATCGATGCTATAGATGTGAACACAGGGGAGGGAGCCAGTGCACAGACAGAAACAGACGTGAATCACACAGTGGGAGGGCACCACAGATAAAGGACCACACGCTCCAACTTTAGGACGAAAGCACAATAAGGGGGTCAACGAGAGCCAGAGGAGGGAGTTTTGTTTCACAGAATGTGAGGCGTACCTGCAGGTTTTCAGAGGCTGGGCACATCTGCGCACACTCCTGTGCGATGCCAGCATTTGCACTCGGGGACGTTCTTCACGCCCTTAAAGGGGCCACTGCCTCATTCTTTAGGGGTGATGGAGCACTCTCCCTCTAAACGAGGGGGTGGGTATAACCACAAACTGACAAGCTTCTCCACGGCAAACCCTCACCACCGCAGGCCCCCGGCACTGCCTCCTGAACGACCCTCAGGGTGGAGAGGCTGGAGGATTGGCCGGGCCACTTTAGTAAGTCACTGCTCACAGGGTGTTTCACACTCACCACGTGGTTAATGCCACCTGCTTTTAAACTCTAGTGCCACTATGAGCACCATGAAGGCAGAGAATCCTAAGACCAGGGATGTCTGACCCAAGTCCAGCATGGGTTACTCTTGGGAGACATAAGGCTTTCCACCCACCCTAGAGGCACATTGGAGGGCTTCCGGGGAAAGACAGCGGAGCCCAGAAACAAGGCCTTGGCTGACTGCGAAGCCACCCCCAGGTCCTGCAGGAAGACATGGCTACCGAGGCTCAGGGGCCTCTGGGAGACACTATGGGGCTGCTGAGAGCAGAGACTGGGAAGCAGATACAGCTGCACACCCCCAGGCCTCCCAGGCTGGAGACCACAGAAACCCGGTACCTGCTGCTCAGCCCAGCAGAACCTGCACAGGTGGTACAGGTGGGGGTGTGAGGCCCTCCCACCCACACCCCCATAGGATCCCAGACACTCTCCCCAGAGAGGCTGCTAAGCCCCACTTTCCCAGGCCAGGGCCTCTGCTCACTGCTCTACTGAGCCTGGCCTAGGGCTCGGGCTGCAAATGCACACACATGCACACACATGTGTTTGCATACGCACAGACCTCCTTCTGCCCCCGCTTCAGTTACTCGTCTGTACTGCAAAACCTGGCCTCTTAGGCAACATAAAATAAATTTCCCTCTTTTAATACTGAGGACTGTGGTCATTTCAGAGGACTGAACACAGGCCTCTCTAACTGGTTCAAAGGCAAAAGAGAAGCCGACATTCTCGGATCCAGCTGAGAGAATCCAGGCCAAACTATCTATCAATATCGAGTCCTTCACTTTTTCTGATCAGACCACAATATATTTTATCTTCAAACTAAACAATACGGTGACAAGAAGGAATAAACAGAGGAAAGGGTCATATTTTCTCCCTAAAGGACCAATTTTTACAGTAGACCAGAGAGCTTGGGATTTCTAAGAAAAGAGCAATAAATACTCATAGCTGCAGGGTTTGGAGATGACACTAGTGCCATTTCTCCTTCAGTCTTCCTCTTTCACAGACTCTAAACTGAGTCCCAAGGATTTCCTTCTGTTCACTCTGATTTTAGGGGGAAGAGGGGCCAGGCAGGAGGGAGCCTGCATAAATACCATATGGGGAATTCCAGATACAGAGAGACCTGGATGCCTGGGGGGCCCTGGAGAATTAGCTTAAGGGTCCCCAACACCCCCATCCCTCTGACACACGGTCCCTACACGGTAGGCTCAGGAATGCACTGCAGGCCAGTCCCGCTGGAGCCCTTGGGTTTCAGCAGCTGAATGGCCAGACTCACTCTTTTGTGACCAGAGTCCTAGGGAGAAACACCCTGGGCTGGGCAGATTCTGGTGCCTGCCCCCCACCTCATCATCAGAGGCTGCTATGGGACCCCTCACCCTGCAGGGCAGCTACACGGGGAGGGCACTGTGGACTGTCCTTCTGAGTGAGGCTCAGCATGGAGAGGGCTGATGGCACTGCTCTGGTGTCCCCACCCTGTGCCATGATGGCCTCAGATGGCTCCCCAGGGGCCACCTGACCATCCCAATCTAGGAAGGCTGCCCAGCAACCACACTTACTGGCGGATGTTCGTGGTGAGGGCAGAGTGGCATGAGATGGGGAGTCAGCATGGCAACGAACCCCAGTGCTGTGTAAAGCATGACCGCGCGGACAGACTTCGCCTCACCTGGGGCAGGTGTAGCTGGAGGCCCTCGCTGAGGATGGGCTGGCGAGACGGCGTTTGATCCAAGTGCAAGTTAAAAATGGTGGCCAGGGCAGACTGCGCGGCCCGGGCCTTGGCCAGCTTTTTGTTCCTCCCCGAGCCTTCGAAGAACTGGCCGTCCACCACGACGGACATGACGAAGTTCTTGGCGTGGCTCTCCCCGCTCTCCGACAGGAAGTCGTACTTGAGGCCCGGGCGCAGCTCGTTCAGGATCATCACGGGGTTCTTGCCGGCGGGCGGGGGGAACGGGGGCAGGACCGGGAGGGGCGGCGGGACCACGGTGGCGGGCACGGGGGAGGCGGACAAGCTGAGGTCCCCGCTGGAGCTGAAGGAGTCGTCGCCGCCGTTGGAGCCCGTGTAGAAGGGCACTTCCGACCTGTCCGGCGTCTCGAAGCCGTTGAAGAGCGCGTCGGGGAAGTCCGCCTGGTCCGACGTGAAGTCCGTGTTGGCGGACAGGCTCCGGCCCATGGCCAGGTGGGCCTCGGAGGCGTTGGGGAACTGCACGAAGGAGCGCAGGGCCTTCTCGGCCGCCTGCAGCTTGGCCTTCTTCTTGGTGGGGCCCGAGCCCTCGAACACCTGCCCGTTCACCTCCACGGAGATGACGAAGAGCGGTGCATGCACGGGCCCCGTCTGGGACAGCAGCGTGTACTGCAGGCCGGGCTTGATCTCGTTCAGCTGCATCAGCGCGTTCTTGGGCAGCGCGGGCCCCGGCGCCCTCCTCCGCTTCTTCAGGCGGAACTTGGCGTGCCCATTGCTGCCCTCGTCCAGGGGCCGCTTCCTGCCGACGCCGCCCCCGCCCCCGTTAGGGAGCAGGGAGCTGTCAGCCGGCCCCGGAGCGCTGTCCCCCGGGGGCCCAGGGTCCACACTGCAGCTGTCCTTAGCCTCTGTGCTGCTCGAACCTGCGGTGCCCAGAAAGAGCAACTTACAACGCCTTCGTTGCAGGATCTTGTAAATGCAAAATTTATAGATTCCTTTATCTCTCTTTGTAACTGGGTAAGTGATGTGTGTGCTGCTTTACTGCCTGCTGCACACGGGAGGGCTGCACGTTTACCACCGACTCAGGGCCTGACATTTTGCTGAATAATGGCTCCTACCATGTCTATTTAGCATCCCCAACTGCTTTTACATTAAAAGGTGAATTTTTAAATAACTTTTCTGAGAATATGCTGAAGCATCAAAATGTGGGGTGATACATGTATCCAGAAGACCCTACATTCCTAAGTCTGAAGTCGGCACTGACACGTTGTTTATTTTGGCATTTCCCCTACGGACGGCATTTTCTCTCACTGGGCTTTGCACTGCAGCTCTCCCAGAGGAGGTGACATATTTAAAAGCAGCATTTACAGGCTGGTTCGCTCTCGAGCTTCAAAATATTCCATCAATTTGTGCAGCTATTTGATTCGGTTCATGAGTCAATCTTAGGAATCTGCTTATGTAATTACACAGAGCATTCTGCCCATTCAGAAATGATTTTTGAAGGATACAACTTCATTTCCAGTTTTCATAAAGTTTTTTTTTTTTTTAATTACAAATGGGGACTGGTTTACCTCTGTATTTTTAATACAGTCCACATTAGGGGGGAAAAAAATGTATGAGAGGATGTAAAATTGAAGCTGCACCAGGCAGGCTACCACCTCCTCACTAAAGCTGGAAATTACAGACTAACTTGGTCTTTCTATCTTCTAAAGGTGTTTATGCTTAATAGAGATCAGTTTAGGACTCTGAAGGTTCATGGCAAAAATATGATTTTAATTTCAAAAAGGGGGATAAAAGAGTATTTAGTCTCCCCTTTACTTTTATTGGACGTTTTAAAAAGGAGAACGAAAAATAGTCCCGTTTTCCTGGCACGTTTCCACAGGCCGTTTGTCGCATGGAGCGCAGGGCGTGGGACGTTGATGACACTGCATGTAAGACCTGCCGCTACCTTTCGGAAACCCACAATAAATCTTCTAAGTGACCAAACTATTTTTTACAACCTTCACTGATTTACAGTGCCCAGAGTGGAGGCCTGGGTCTATTTCGACAGCACAGCGTCAGCGCAGGCTCTCATCATGCTAAGCTCTACTCACGGGAGGGCCTCACGTGACAGAGGCCTGGCCCCAGGCCACCAGCATCAGCTGTGCTTGCACACACCCCTGGGGAAGCTGGCTCTCCTTTGGCGGAGGTGAGAGCCAGGTGCCCTTCCTCTGCAGACAGCTCCTCCCAGGCCCTGACACACACACCACTTCTCCCAGTTGACAAAGCTGACGGAATAGGCACTAAATTTTCATTTATAACATCCTCCAGCAAAAGCTCGATAGGTTACTCCTTTCGGTGCTCAGAGGGAACACAAGGTGAGAAGGGCAGAGCGAGACAGGTTAGAGGAACAGGCAGCGAGGGCGCCACAGAGGACCACGGACGGACGTGCTGGTGCTCCTGCTTGAAGAACTAGCAACAGAGACACTCAGAGGGGCATCGGTTATTCTGACATGCATCGAACCAAACAGGACCACCTCCCGCCGCCAAGTGCTTTCCTCAAGGAATACAGACAAGCAGTACTGGGTTGACCGTCTCAAGAGCATAGGAAAAATACACTTTCTGTAGCATAGTTCACATAAATTCTAAGTTCTTATTTGCTTCAGAAGCACTAAGATGCTACCCACATTCTGCCTCATTAAAAATGGGGACTGTAGCCAAAATCAGTGGATACAGCATCGGCCTGTGGACTGAAAGGTCCCAGATTCGATTCTGGTCAAGGGCATGTACCTTGGTTGCGGGCACATTTCCAATAGGAGATGTGCAAGAGGCAGCTGATTGATGATTCTCTCTCATCGATGTTTCTAACTCTCTATCCCTCTCTCTTCCTCTCTGTAAAAAATCAATACAATATATTTTTTAAAAATGGGACTGTAAAGAGAAAATATTAAAATTGGAGAAAGATACATCCTCTGCCACAACTCTCTCTTTACATATCATGCTACTTTGTTTCATAAGTGTGACTGCTTAGCATGATTATATTTTTCATTGCTTATGAAATGATAGGCAATACAGGACTGGCACTGCTAAGTTTTAGCTCTTGAACCAGCAGTTTATCTTTCCAGAAAAGTTATCCAGAAGGATTCTTTACGTTACCCAAGGATCAGTTATTTATATACGCTACACTGCATGACATTTCCACCCAAACCAGATGCCCACTGCCGTGGACAACGGCCCGCAGTCCCAACAACACGGAGGCTGGGGACACTCGGATGCACACACTTCACGGGGAACAGTGTGCGGGCAAAACTGGAGATGGCGAGTGGAACGGACCAGTAAAAACATTGGGCTGTTCTAAAGGGACTTAGGATAGGCTCTGATGGGGAGGTCACCCTGAAGAGAGCTCCGCCAGGCCGCCAGAGGCCACCACAGGTCAGCAGGAAGGAGGGCACAAGGCCACGAGCTTCTCCAACAGCGACTGGGCGGCTGCTCATGCTGTGTCCATCCCACTGGGCCAACTTCAGCCAGAGAGCGTCCACTGTGCGGTCCATATAACCAAGACCCAGCCCACCCACGTCATCCCCAATCCAACCCATGAAGCAGCCTGCGAGCGAGGCGGGGCGGTCTGCCGTGGGAACCTCTGGTTTATCTATGTACAAGAGCCACCTCCAAGGCCTCAGCTGGCTAGTTTGGGTGGTGACACAGAGAGGAGAACCGAGCTGTGTCCTGGCCATTGATGACCACTCCTCGTAAAATGTCACTCATCCTTAGACCTGCACGCTCTCTCTTGGGAGCAACTGAACACAGACAAGTAAGCATGCTCCTGTCTATGTGTGTTAGAAAAGGGATGTCTTTGTTGCAGTGTCCCTACTAAAAGCTCCCAAATGGGGAGGGAGATCTAAGCCTTATTTAAATGCACTGCTCTCTGGGAGGGATGATAAAGCAGAAGAGAAGAATGTTCACTGAACTTTTCATAGAGAACAACGCTGAGAGGGGCACTGGCAGTGCTCCAAGCCTCTCCGTCCCTCAGTCCCTCTGCCCCAGAAGGGGCAGGGTGGAAAGGAGAAGGGCCCAGAGTGTCTCAGGCCACACTAGTTCTAAGGCTCATTAAAGTCTAGAAACTTAAGATCAGCAGATTCATGTGAGCCCTTTCCCTCAAAATATAGGAGAACCCAGGGTATTCGGACAGAAAAGGCTTTGTGCTACTTCAAATGGCCAAGCATTTAAATCCACCTGAGAGGTTATCTTAGACGTTCACAGACGGGAATCTGGCCATCGTCATGGTAACCAGGCTGTGCCAACAGGAAGCGTGCAGCTTCGTGAGACATGCACCGGAGCATGCGCTCCTTCAGGCAGCAGCAACACCCCTGCAGCTGTGAGGGAGAGGGCCCCAGTAAATAGAAAATGTGGCAAAACTTAAAAACACGCCACTGCTGGTAGCCCCGCACGTTCATTTCCCCCAAATCGGCCTCATGAAAAAACTTCCAGGAACACTAAGACTAACGGGAAACCAGCTACTGGAGACTACATGGCAGGCCTAGGTCTTACTCAGGTTCTCTTCATCTTCTACATCCATGGCAAAATACTTTGGAGGGTTTCTTGACTGGCGGAGGCTGTTTCTGTCTGCAAGACAGCAAGAAAGTCACATTTAGTGAGCCCGTCACATGAGTCACGTGAGGTAGTCTCCTCTGCAGAAATGGCGCCCACAGGATGACTAACGGGAAAGTTTGTGAAACAAGGACAGCTCGATCTGCCGTCAGGACGGAATATTCAGATGCTCCTGCCTCTTCAGCACAACAGTGAGGGCCCCAGGGCTCTGCAGCGGGGAGGGAGGCCTGAGGAGGGAGGAATCCCCTCTGAGGAGCTGGCCTTGATTCCAGGCTGGAGGCCACGGCAAGCTCCAAACCAGGGAGAAAGGTGATGGCATTTCTGTCTTAGGAAGATCGCTCCTGCAGGAAGGGCTGAAGACAGATGACCACAGATCCCAAACGGACTCAACCTGTTTGCCATTTGACCTTTGCTCTGGCGAACTTCCGGTTCAGGTTATAAAGTAAGGCTACAAAGGAAAAAGCGCCTAACAGCATTTCACTTTACCACTTCTTTTTCTTCTTGAGCCGCATCTCGCGTGGATGAATTTAAAAAGCATGTAATTGTTAAATCTGATTGAATTTCTTAGCCATGTATAACATTATTTTGTTGGTAGATGAAACCACAGGAAATCCTTAAATTACTATAATCCTATATAATAAAGAGGTAATATGCAAATTAACCATCACACCCTCACAAGATGGCAGGCTATGGCCAGGCTGGCAGCGGGGTTAGTGAGGGATGACCAAACAACTGCAGAAGCAGGCTGTGTGGGGCAACCAGGCCAGCAGGGGGTTAGTGAGGGACAACCAAACGACTGACCAGCAGGCTATGTGGGGTGACCAGGCCAGCAGGGGGACCATGAGTGGCTACTAGGCCAGCAAGGGGGGCAGTTGGGGGCGACCTGGCTGGCAGTGGGGACAGTTACAGGCAACCAGGCAGGCAGGCAGGCAGGTGAGTGATTAAGAGCTAATGGTCCAGGATTGTGAGAGGGATGTCCGACTGCCCGACGTCCCCAGAATCAGGCCTAAACCGGCAGTTGTACATCCCCTGAGGGGTCCCGGATAGGAGAGGTTGTAGACGGGGCTGAAGGGACCCCCTCTCCCGTGTACGAATTTCATGTAATAGGCCTCTATTCTATATATATAAAAAGCCAGTGACCGGAACCCATAACGACCAAAACAACTAGTCGCTATGATGCCCACTGCAGCCAGTAAACCAGCCTGACTGGGGGGTTGGCCTGGCCAGCCAACTTCCTGCAGTCTCTCCTTCCAGCCAGCCCTGCCCTTGATCAGCCTCTCCCACTCCTGCAGCCAACCTCTTGTGGCCTCTCCTCCTGGCCAGCCCACCCCCAATTTGCCAGGCCCTGATTGGCCTCTCCCATCCCGATTGAGGGCGGGATGGCCAGCCACCCCCCCCACATGGTCCTTCCCCACAGTTGGCTCTGCCCCCAATCAGCCCCACAAACACCAATTGGGGGTGGGGCCTGCCAGCCAATCACCCTCGGCCCCTCCCCCCTGACAACCTGGCCATGATCAGGCCCCAATCGGGGTGGGCCCGCCAGTCAACTTCCTGCCATCTACTCCTCCTAACAATTTGCTGATTGGGGCCAGGCTGGCCAGATCCCACCCATGCATGAATTCGTGCACTGGGCCTTTAGTTATCTAATAATTAACAAACTTAAGAGTTTCTCTCTTCCTAAATAGATTGGCTATACTTAGCAAAATTTTACTAACACACCATCTGTACTAAAGAATCCCATCAAATTGTAATTGAGGAAAAAGATTTGCATATGTTGCTTTATATATAAATAAAACTGATATTATAAATCACTAAAAGGCAAATTCATTGCTTGTAAGACATTATTAACAAGTGGTTGTCATAAAAACTATATATATTTTAGGTATCTGACATACGAGAAACATTTATATCTTTATTCAAGAGAGTGTTCCAGATAGATTACTTCTAGATTTGTTTTCTGGAATCCTCCTTCTGTGCAAAGCACAGAATGGGGCATGAGGAGAACCTGAAGTGAGTCAGAGATGGAGAAATTAAAATAGAAATACCATCTGGATAGCTAATTATATTTAGAAATTCTTATTAATCATTTTAGGTGTGGAAATGGTACTTATTTTTAGCGATACTAAAGCATGTAGAGACGAAATGGTAATATCTGGAATTTATTATTGTAAAAGAACCCAGCGTGGTGGGGAAAAGCAGATGGTGTATAGTTAAAACTGAGGGGCCGGGGCTGGCTGCTGGGATGGTGGATTCATGATACAATTCTGTATTTGTATGTGTTTTACAATTTCTATGACGGAAAGCTTTACTTAAGAGTCCTTTCCTCGACGTCTAGAATAGAAGGTAAGATGTAGCAGTAATACAGGACCACTGCACGCCCTCCACAAGGTACGGGTGCTCCGAGGGCTCCGGGCAGCGGGTCAGATCAGAAGGTGGGCACGTGGAGGTGAAACTGAGCCAGGAGCAGAGGGTGTCAAGCACACCACGGAGACAGGAGACAGGTGGCGTGTGAAGAGCATGGAGGTTGTGTGAGAGGCGCAATCACAAGCACGTCAAAGAAACCCAAGCTATGCTTTCTGAGAACAGCTCACATTGATCCCTGGCTTTGAAACAGGCAGCAGAGACATGCGCAGTGGCAGGATGGAGACTTCCTTTCCCCTTGCCTCCCTTCAGTACAACTGAAAACCCCGACAACATATATACAGGCGGAAGGAGGAGGGTAGACCGGCTGGGACCCGAGGGACCACACAGCACGGTCCCTGGTCTTTCTGTGTCATTATCCCAGACTCGGGGCTGAAGAAGCCAGCAACTTAGAAACACCAATGGGCAGAGACCACAAAACCCCAACAAATGCTGCTCTCTGACAATGGACCAGGAGCGGTTCCTCCCTGCGGGACTGAAAGTGACAGACAGCACTGCCCCGCTCCAGCCAGACCCTCCCACCCAGCAAGGACGAGGGGGCTGGGGCCTTGCCTCCCCTGGTGGGGAGGCCTGGTGGGGAACCTGAGGAGACGTCCCTGCCCCTAACAGAGCGGCATGAGTGAAAGTCAGCTGACACAATGGTTTGAGTAAGATTTGGAGTCAAGTCCAAGTTTCAGTAAGAAAAAAAGTCATCCATCAGAACAACAGCCAGGAAGATCTTAAACTAAACGGGAAAAAAAAGGCAATCAACAGACGCCAACCTAGAAGCATCTGCCTGAGGTTGTAAAGCAGCCAGCATAAAGAAGTGGGAGGAAGCAGTCTAACCGATTTCAACACGCACTCGATAGCATTAGTCCGCAAGGCAGCAGGTATGGCATTGCCAGGGACCACATGGAACAGACAGAACCAGGCACGTGCCCGGCTGGCGGCTCATGAGGCAGGAAAGCAGTTCAGGGAGGAGGGATCTGGCCACAGACAGCACTGCAGCCACCAGGCACCACGTCTCACACCGACACAAAATGCACTTGAGATGGTCTGGGGCTCAGTGTGAAGCATAAAACCATAAACCTGTAGGAAGATCATAGGAGGAAATCCCAGGGACCTGGGGCTGGGCAGAGCATGCTTAGGCAGACTAGACACCAAATGCACAATCTACAAGATAAATTGGATTTTTTTCACAACTTGGACCTAATCAAAATTAAACATTTTTTTTTCTCTGCTAAAGACTCTGAAGAGAAGATGAAAAGACAAGCCACAAACAGGGAGAAAATATTACGAAGACTACACATTGAACAAATGGCGCACACAAGAGATTCTCAAAACAAACAATCCAACCAGAAAGTGGGCAGAAGACATGAAGAGACCTTTCAGTGAAAAGGATATTCAGATAAACATGAAAAAAATGTTCGGTATCATCAGCCATCCGGGAGATGCCACTTGAATCCATGTAGGGTGGCCAAAATGAAACCGGGTGCAACCCCAGATGCCGACAAAGTTCACAGCAACTTCCCAAACAGGAAACAACCAGATGCCCCTCCACAGGCAGATGGTTAAACAGATTGTGGGCGTGCCCATGCCAAGAAGTCCTATGCAGCAACGAAAAGGACTGGTACACGCAGTCACCTGGATGCATCTCAAGAGAATTAGGCTGATGGGGAAACGCCAATCCCAAAGTTACTCAGTGTGTGGTCCCTTTACATACCATTCTTGAAATGAAGTAATTGTAGAAATGGAGAACAGATTAGTGGCTGCCAGGTATTGGGAGGGTGAGGGTTTGGCTACAAAAGCACATGGAAGGGTCTCAGGGACAATGGAAGGCTCTGGTGCTGACTGTATCCCAGTCAACAAGCATCCTGATTGTGACAATGCACTGAGTAAAGGAAACATGGTTCTCTCTGTGAATCCACATGTGGATATGCATTATCCACAAATAAAAAGTTTAATTAGAAGGCCCAATGATCATACCATTCATCAATGATGGGTGTACAGAGAGGGACGGCTTACCTGGAGGCCGGGGGTGAGGGAGAGCACACTGCTGTGGACACTGACAGTGAGTATGAGCCACGGGAGGACCCGGCCCTAATGGAGCTCACCCGATTTGTAGAATGTCTTGTTTCCCTGCTCTTACATATGAAAGCTCTTTAAAAGGACAAGGAAATGTCTCACAGTGGAAAATGATCAGGCTGTGGGCAGCGGCGGGAGGGCCACGGTGTGGAGAACGGGAGCCAGAAAGCTCTCGCTGAGCGGGAGCAACACTTTCACATTCTACAAATGCCAACTTTTATATCAAAGGTTATAAAACAAAGCAAAACAGCAAATGCAAGCACTTTAGAGCATTTCACATAACCATTTTTCTTTCATTATGAATGCACCTCTTACGGCCTGAACTATAAACATCTAAGAATTGAAAGCCCATCTTGGGCCAAATCCCACTTGGGCCCAGCCAGTGTGCTCAGTGGTTGAGCATTGACCTATGAACCAGGAGGTCATGATTCCATTCCCGGTCATGGCACATGCCTGGGTTGTGGGCTCTATCCCCAGTAGGGG